CCAGTTTTTTTTCATCCATTTTAACTCTAGTTTTTTTTTCGTACTTTGACCAACTATTTCACAGAGACTTCTAATTAATCATTCCATAACAAAATTTCTGTTGTGAATGCCAAATTTTTTATGTTARAAGCTTGAAATTATAGACTGCATATAGTCGTCAGTATATTGATGTATTTATCTTATAACTTTATCTGAAATTTCTTCTTCTTCTTAAAATACATTTTTTCTTCCATTTGGCATTAATTAAATTTTGTTTGATAATTTCGTATATTTTTTACCTAACCTAACCATAAAAAATTCTTTGTTATGCTACTGTCTTATAAATCCCAAAATTGAAAATAAGCCTTTATAATAGTTAATAAATTATCTGTAGCACCCATATATCCAAATAATWAYGTAGTCGTTACACCTTGACATAGGDCTACCGATATAAATATTGGTATATTGTATTAGGATTAATGGACTTATGCAAGTAGGTATAAAGAAATCATATGAGTTCATATTATATTAGGAAAATAAATTAATTTTAATATTAAACGAACAAAAAAAAAAAACTTTTTATAGGTACACAAAATAATTTATTGGTAATAGGTGGAGGAGGGTTTCACGACATAGTGTTGTTTATGGCCGATAGGTCAACGTCGTTGTCGTTGCGGTGGCGACGATGGTGATTGTGGTGGTTGTGCCCGTGACGAAGTCTGACGACGACATTGTCGTTGTCATTGATGTCGTCTTTGACCGTCTTTGCAGTGTCCTCGACTTCGTTTTTGCCTGCAGCAGCACCRTTGCTGCATTGTCGCTGCTGCAGCGACAGCCGCAACGGTTTTTTGGGTGGCATCGGGGCACGCCGGCCCGATTGTTCCGAATCATAATTGAGTGATCGGCTGGGCCGTGGTGATCCTGCGGCAGACGAGGAGGTAGCCTCGGCCATGGTCAGATGCGAGTAATATTCAGTGCTTTTTAACCGGTGTGAGTCGGTGGCCGCCGTGTCCTGTTGCAGGTCGAGTGACCTCAGGCTGCCACCGTCGCATTGCTGAAGCAAGTACGAGGCGGAACTACCTCCGCCGGATGACTCGGAGTCGAGGAACCGGAATAACGTCTGCTGGGCCTCACGTATGTGTCGAGTCCTGCTGCTGTTCCGGCCACCTGCCGCCGGATACTTGTTTCGTTTACCATGCGCCGCCGCCACGCCGTGCAAGTCATCGAACGATTTGCAGGCAGCCACTACGGCGTCGGCCGACGACACTAGCGACTCAACCGATGCCGAACTTCCGTACAGCCGGGGCACAGTCCGGATACGTGTCTTGACCACCGGCCCACCTTCAGGGGCTCGCGCTGTCGCCGGCCGATCATCGTACACCACCTGTTTGCGTTTGTACTGCTGTATGGCCGACACGCCATGCTTAGGGCTCTTGCTCCGTACCATCACCGCTGAGTTGGTGCCCCTCTGGAATACCACGCCGCTTCCACCTCCACCACCGTTTGAGGCCGACGACAACGATCGGCACTTGATCAGCTCCGACACTTGATCTTCCAAGTACGACACCCTGTGTGACAGCCTCACGTTTTCCGTTTTGTATGCGTGCTTGGACCGGTCTAATTCCTCGGCCCGGGTCCGACAAGCGTCTAGTTCCCGCCTGAGCGTTGCCAGCTCCAGTTGGTGGTCGGCTGACGGCCCGTCGTGCATGACCACCACGCGCACAGACGACGGCGATACCTCCAGCAGCCGGTTCAGGTCATGGTTATTCTTCATCGACAACACTACCTTACCGTTCACTTCCAGTAATCTGTGACAAGAAATACGAACAAAAATTTTAAGCCTTATAATGTGCATAAATCAACCTGAATATTATTCCAATGTCTCATTATATAGAAAGTGGAAAACCGCCAAAAGTTAGAAGATTAGAAAGGTAGGTTATATATTATATATATATTTTTTTWATTTTTTTCAAAGTTTATTAAGGCTTCAACAACATATATATTATAAGGTAGGTTCTTATAATAATTGTTAATTAATAATTATGTTATAAACTAAATTAATGAGTATTTGTATATAGATGCCTACATACCTTTTAAGAATGATATATTTTTGTATTCAATATAGTATGTTGTACATAGCTACCTTGATTATAGGTTTAATTATGGACCATTTGATTTTAGTGAACCATTAAATTATTTTTAAGGGWYTATTATTGGTTTCATTATTTAGTCATTAAATGTTTAGTGATATTGTTTATGTAACTCGACATAAGACTTTCATACATCTTATTGATATATGGAGGTACAGTTGGTACAGATTATAATTCTTAAATAATWATTATTATCTAACTATTACATCCAAGTATTATAAATAGTTTTAAATATATGTATTTTACATAAACTCATTTTTACCTATCTCCTTTTGAAAATCCCAAATTGTCAACTGTCCAGTCAATAAACAGGCCTGGTTTATCTTTTCTCGAACCCACGCCAAACTTAGGACTTTTCGGATCGTATTCCAGCTCTACAGCTTGTAAGCTAATCACGGCCCCGGGATTAGAAACTAAATAACTAAAAAAAATACCAGTTACGTTGTGCGTCAATATTGATTTTTATTGGTACTTACTTATATAGAGTATTATTTTCATTTTGTTCATTGTGTTGTTCAATCTCCTCAAGACGACACTTCTGTTTGTTGGTCTCTTCCATTAAACTAAGAAGGTTAAGTTCCTCCCTACCCAATTGATATTCCAACTCTGCCTGTTGTATCCTCGTGTCAATGTTACTGGAACGAATAAAACAAAATAAAAACAATTATTAAACGCGATGATTATGTAAAAAGAATCGGTTATATTATATTTTTTCTTTCTACTCTTTAAGATTTTCATTAAAAAACGTGTTATCTTGCTTACTCGGTAACATCTAATTGTTCCAATGACATTTTTATATTTTTAATAGTCAATCGTTTTTGGTCCATGTCATTTTTTAGGCTTTCTATTTTTTGGGTCAGCGAATGTTTTTCACTTTCATTGACCGTATCGCTTTGCACTTTTTGATTATGTTTGTTCTGCTCATTGGTTTCATTGACTAGATGAGTTTGAAGTTTTACGCTGCAAATTATAATTTTTTTAATATCTAGGGAAAGGGGCAAGGGCTACGCGACCAATCACAAAATGATAATAATATATAGAAGAAAAACTTACTTGTTTCGCGTAATATTTTCTTTGTCGTGGTTGTCCGTTATAWATMCATTGCTTTTGACGGGTGTTATGATTTTTTGTGATATCATCGCCGGTTGGGGGCTAGTTGGTATGACAGGAGTTGAACTCTTTTTCGCCTTTTTCAGCGTCGAAGACAGTGAGACTTCAATGCTAGCCATCTGGAAATTTATACAATTAATCGCATTGTAGTTAAACTTGTTTTCAAAATTATTAGACTAGTTTGTGTCATTAGACACATTATTTTAGTATTATCGGTATACAATTTKACGTTTTATTTACTTACAGAAATAAAAATTATTATACCTAAGCATAATCAAAAAGAATTGTGTTTAAAACGTGATTTTCTTTCAGAAGAGATATGCACTTATGCACAATCATGGTAAACAATAACCTAATAGTCATATATTCATTATTCATACTTGGATATTTTTATACAAACACTGAATTTCAGTAATTATAGTATATTATTCTAAATCCTTACATAATTTTTCGAACAACGGCTGTGATAAATATATAAAAATGTACTTTTTACTTATTTATTCTCTATATGTTAATTGTGGATATTTTTTTTTATAGTAAAAAATAATAAACATAACCTTATAATATTATTATATCTTGAAAAATATAATCTTTGTTCAAGTATTCGGCTTGATACAATAATATGTTTCTATGTTTAACTCTCGTYAACAGTTAATTAGGTAATTTATTTACATGTAAATTAAGTATATAAGTACCAAAATAAATTTAAATCAATGAAATACAATTAATCCAATATTATAAAATTTTTGTTTTTTTTTTCATCGATAACATTATGTATTTAGAGCAATAGGATTTTGCCGCCATAMAATTGTTGAACTAATTCATTAATTGATCTTAATTTATAGATAATTTAATTCAATAAAAATATAATTATTAATTAATTACAGTTTAGTTAATTTTAAAGAAAAATTAATTATTTTTTATACAATAAATGTTGTTTTATATTTTATAAATATTTCTTTAATTTTTAATCAAAAAATTGAGATTGTTTAAACTTGGTGTAGTACTAAAATATAGTTATTACCTCTGGATCTAAATAAACACAGACATTTTTATTAATAGGTTACATAATATTTACCTATTTCACAAAAAATCATCATGATTTTGACAAAAGTTACAGATCTAAATATTTTTTAGTTTTAAACATAAATTCAGTTAAGTCCCGAGAGTGGTTTTAGTATCATTTTCAATTGAGTTTATAAATGAGCGAGAGAAGTGTAAATGGAAAATTAAATCATATGTTTCTGAATTCTTAACTGGAAATAACTAACGAAAAAACGGGAATATTTTATGGAACACTAGTTTTTGATCAACATTAATTATAATAATATGAACTATGAAGACAAAAACTAATGTAAACAAGGCCGTAATCAAAAACACATTTTTTGGGAGGGTCTGATCTTTTTTAGTGTAGATAAGTACTAGTAATTTATAATTTTTTACGTTCAAAAATATATAAACTCTTTATTACTATTACTTTAACGAAAATATAAAATTACATTCTTATTACAATAGTAAATAAATAATATCCACGGCTAAAAGTTTTCAACTTTTAAACAATTTCAGGGAATGATAATTCAAACCCCTGAACCCCTCTCCTAAATTATATATGCATATAAATATAATAATTTAACAATGCAATTAAATAAAACAATAAAATTCAGAAAATACTCATATTTCCTAGTAAATGGAATATTATTTAATTTTTGTTTTATAGACCATTTGTATATTCGTGGTGCACATAAAAATAGGGTTTGAACTATAGGACATAAATATATAGATATTATAGATACATATTGTTTTCAGATACCTATTACCTATTGAACACAAATCTAATATATTATATAATATAATACAAGTATTTTATCATGATAATTTTTTTAAGTTACCTTAGCTTCTAATGTTTCGAGTTGTGAGAGCCTGGGTTCCATAAATTGAGTTTGTGGCGGATGATGTAGCGAACCCTAGAAAATAAATAAATAGTTATAGGTACCTACTTTAAAAATTAAATATTTYATATTTATGCATAGCTTGCACAGTGCACATAGCAGGGCAGTACCTAGATATCAATAACAAACGATAATCTGTTATTTAATTAATAGCCAATAGGCATATGTCAAATTACAAATTAGTACAATAAAAGTAAAATGTCGGTGGTTAACATATTTTATTTTGTTTTAACACACTATTTTTGGGTAACAATAATACCATTCACAATGGTGAGCACTCTACAATAAAAACAAACTCAATGTTACTAACTCATAAAGTCATAAATGATAAATCGGAAATGGGTATCGAGCAAAATTATCAATTAGCGACAATTAATTGAACAAATTGTTGAGGGGAGCAGTCGAACAGGAAAACAACGAACAAGTTTTTTCTTATTCACTACCTAAATATCTAATTATTATTCAAAACCAGTACAGTCCCATTCAACCTGGAACGTATAGGGATCCTAAATTTTAAACGTACCTAGTTCAATAACTGTATAAAACCTAGCCGTTGGTATAGGTATATAGAAGGCATTTATATAATCACTAGAATAATAAATATAAGCTTTGTTTTAAGAAATAGTATATAGGTAAGYCGTACGTATATGAATATACTTACCTACTTACATCTTACTTTACTGTATTACAATTAGTTCTATAGAATTATAGGTAAGTATGAGRTAGAATATTGAATAGTATGTACTGTTTATTTTATCTATAAATACATTTAAACTAAATTTTAATCAATAACTATTAAAAAAAAAAAAAACATTTCTATGAAGTAATATATTTTAAATTATGAGCAATTACCTAACGATATTATCATACGTTTATATCTAACTAATAAAATAAATACACCATGGGCTGCTTTTGTATATTTGCTTAACAAACCTTAATTTGTTAACCATTGCATGAGGTTCCGTAGTGTAGTKGTTATCACGTCTGCTTTACACGCAGAAGGTCGCCAGTTCGATCCTGGCCGGAATCAGTTTAAATTTTAAATTTTTTTCATTCAATTTATGTTAATTTACTTTATAATACTTTTGAATCATCTTTGTAACATATTTGCATTTATTTATTTATTATTATTAAATATAAATTTATTAAAGACATCGTGTTCATTTGAAATGCATTTCATTATACATAGTATTAATACCGCGTTTTGTGTTTATAATTCACACTATAATTATTTTACCTAAATAATATTCTAAATTTGCATTTTTATTTAACAGGGTGTAAGAGCTGACGAACTTTCAGTTAAAAATTTTTTTATTTACAGGGTTAACTCTCACGCCTCGTGAAATAGTCAGTATAATTACTATAATTTTACATTTTTTTTGAACTTAAATGTAAAAATGTTATTATATTAGTCGAATTGGATTCCGATTTAAAAAATCTTATTTCAGGAGTTGTTATAAACGTCTATATATCACACATTTTTTAGTACCTTTCTTGCGTTTTAACTTTTAAAAGTTAATTAAAAAAAGCAGATAAGTGGATGTCGCTCTGCTGTACAATAGGAATTGCAAGTGGGTTACTAGCTGTGATAGATAGCATTCGATTTGAATTCAATAATATAAAATCATTGTAAACAAAAACCTATTTTGAGTGAAGAGTGAAGACTGTTTGTCAGTCTTGGATATTTTATACTATATTCATCATAATATATATTTATATAATTATTATTTAAAATATATAYATACATATRTAGTAGTACCTATGTACTTCTAATATAAATTTCAAATTAATCAAATCAGATTTAATATGTTTCATTTAGTCATTCATAGTATAGACTATAAAGTAATAATATAAATCATTAATGATGATTGATGAGTGATGACATTAACTATAAGTCTATAACAGTTAAAATATATAGTATACTTTAGAAATTTCAAGTATACACATGAATAATATTTTTAAATTACAACAATATAATTAAAATTGTTATTCTTGGTTATTTAATATGTAATCTCATCCAAATTTTAACTTAAAATAACTATAAAAATAACTGTGTTTAGATTTTAGCATTATTTCAACAACTTATGGTGCATATAGACACACTACGATAACCAAATAAATAACTATGAAGACACACATCATTGTAAAATCAATACATTCATCGCTTCATTCAGAATCTAAAATGAACGGCTATTGGGTACCATAAATGCTTGCAATTTAAGTCAAAGAAAACTGATTTCAGAAAATATCCAGGAAAAAAGGTAACGAAGATCCAGTTTCGAAGTGTCGARAATCGATGAAAAAACCCACCCAATCGGTCCTGCAACAGTAAGCCGCGAACCGTAAGTCACCCAACTGTTATCGTTTGTTCAAGACGTGCGTGATAAACCTATAAAAGACCTAAGCGTGCAAAGCGAGCAATACGTGCAGTTGACGATGACCACGACTTTGCCTCAGAACCCGAGTACCGCCTCAAGAACAYCGACTGTCTCAAGCAAATCATGACGGTGCAAAAGTTCGGAACGGACGGTGAACGGCGTACGCTCGGACATAAACTGCAGCCGCAGTGGTTAGCTCAGAACGTCGTCGGAACGTCTTTCGGCCAGAGGAGAAGCACTTCAAGCCATCACGCGAAAAGTGCGTGCAACTGCACCTGTCTGCTCTGGCGATTGGCGAGCGATCGACATCCGATGACTGACGAAAAGTAGGACAGTGACCAGCTGCGAAGATCAAAACTACAACGTCGTGTCTTACGTGAATCCGCGGCGAGTGCAGCGAAAAACAAAACAGCTTGTATTTCGCTGCGGCGGAACAGCATGGTTAGAATATATTTCATTTGCATTCGCCGCACACGCTGGATTCACGTAGGACACCGCATAAGTTTCCGGTCTGACTGTCCGAAACGGATTGACCTTTGGGGGTGACGTAATATTTTTTCCATAGATGACTCATGCTAGCTGTCCGTTTAGACAGAGGCACCACATCCAACAGCAATAGCAGCACTAGTATGATCAGTCTGCACTTTGCAGGGAWGATAACAGATCCGACGCCGCTTTACCGTGATCTAAATACACCAGTACAGCTAATCCTTGTTTTCGGACAGRCGCGTTACAGARGAGAATCGGTCCCGCGGTTACTAACGTCCGAGTGCAAGATTAAGGTACAGTCTGCAAATTATCCATGACCTTTGTTGTATTGTTTTTAATTTGACGCAACTAATCTACTAATTATTATGATTTCGGTCGCAAATAGTTGTATTGATGTTATAAATATCCGGAATGATATAACATTGCATGTAATATAATATAACAGATTCACGGTTGTTAAAATCTTAATGAAGACTTARGTTAAAATTTAAGAACAGAATACATAAAAATATAATATTGGTCTAAAAATACGTACGGATGGTAAACATTTTAGAGGGTAGTGAATGAAAACGCTTCGTCRGTTTGCACATCTCAACATCTGGTACGTCCCAAAAATAGGATGTAGTAAATTATAAAAACGATATTAAGTGGTTCATTAGTATTTAAAATAAATTAGAACCATAAAAGTTACCTCTATTGTACGTTGAAGATGGTAGATCTACGTTTTAAATGGCATATAATTTTAATGTAAGACATGTAGGTACTATACAGTAAAGTATATACTAATTCTAGATTGAACATTTAATTAATTAGGTAACACTAGGATTTACGATTGATAAAATCGTAGGTATTGAAGTTAAGTGTTCACTAAAGTTATTATTGTGAAAACTTATCTTTCTACAAGTTTTATTTAAAAAAATGTATATTTAAATAATATATTTAAAATACATATACATATATATATATATTTTTTCAATATTAAAATGCATTGTTATTTTTTAGTACTGCGTGATGAGATTGTAATGCAAAACATTATTATTAATTTAAAATTATTTTTATATTAGTACATTGTACGTCGTGTACATGAAAGGTAAAATCCTGTTTGAGTGGTAAAACATGCTCCTTCTGCATTATAATGTAAGAAAAATATTCTACACTTTAAAAAATATTTTCCCTAAATAAACTAATTTATTAAATATTTTAGTATTTTTTTTTCCAAAAATAAAGCTTTACACTCGCTTAAATTATCTAGAATAGTTTTGAAGTTCGTTCGGAAATTCTACCAAACAATTGAAGAACATGTAAAATTTGTGTGGAAATTACCAGAAATAAATGTCGCTGTGTGACTGTAACTTTTTACCATTTTATCATTAAGTAAATTGTTTTATTTCATGGGTAAAGTCGTATAATAGGTATAAGGTATTAGTAGTCGCGATTAGTATTTAATTATTTTCTCACCATAAATAAATATTATTTTTACTTTATAATGAGCCATTATAGTATTTATAATAATATTAACTACATGTTTATATTGATGGCTGCAGCAAAACAGAAAAAATGCGCATGTCCCACGCTATATATGTACCCACTCCGACGCCGTATCGTATACTATTCGCTACTATACTTATATACGAAATTAATAGTTTGACGGCAACTTGCTCAGACGATAGTATTATAATATTACGTTCGATTTTCAATCGAGGTGGTTATCGGAATCTACAACATCTACGAGATTTTTAATGATTCCAAATAACAGGTTGGCCGGATACTGGTGGCTGTGCAATGTCTGCGTATAATAATAATAATAATAATATGATATTAGAACATTCAAAATACAAAATACACCGTATTCTCGATTATTTCTCGTATACATACAATATGCGGTATATATACGTATCTCTTCCAACTGTAATTATTATTATACACTGATCCGTTATGAAATACACGACCACCGTCGCAATCACGCGGTTTCCTTGGCCTCTGATCGCGYTTAACTGCGCATACGGATACTATATATATATATTGTCTCAAGATGAGGAGAGGTTTTACTAGCATAATTCGTTTTTGGGGATTACTCTCGTATTAAATTGTATTGATGTCTGTATTTACATATATATACGGTTTATTGCGTAGCACGAACAATGTAATCGTTGATCGTCAGGATATTCTAGATTCGTTTTATATCTGCAGTAGGTATGGTGCACAACAGCACAGCGAGTAGTTCAGTTGTGTGTTAACGAATAAATATACTCAGCCTTATTATATAAGTATATTTAATATTTTTAAACCTAATAATTTAACATTATTGATTTGGTTGTATGTATACCRTGGGTAAAATTATTATTTATTTTCTACTGAAACTTTCCAACTTTAAATGTCAAGCTCCTTTATTTGTTTTTCCGAATGCCTAAGTTTATCTCACTTATCGAAGCAAATATATTTACTAATTTTCTATACATCCATAAAAACGTCATGTTTTCGTATTTATAACTATTTATTTTGTCTATCATTATTTTTATTGAACAACAAAACAGTTTTTTTTAGCATATTATGTAACAATAATTCATGTCCGTAGACATTAATGTAATAAATAAAAGGTAGGATAAAAATGATTTCATATTTTTCATCATAAAAGAATATCATCTCTATTTCCCGATAACGAATTGTATAAATACCTTTTTGTTCGTATAATTTATTTTTGAGAATTACTTTGAAGTCAGGGTAAAATTAAATATAATATAGGTAACTGTGCCATTAAAAAAAATTAAGGATTTAGCATTTAAACTTTAGAGTGTATTTATATTTCAAGCATATATAAATAGTTGAAATTTTATTTACATATAGTTTGATGAACTTTCTGCCAAATTATGGGACTAAATAATGCATAAAAACCACTATGCATGTACCTATCCCCGAAGGACATAAAATGAAATATACGAGCTTACAATTATAGATAGTTTTAGTACATGTTTGAGAACGAAATTTCACTATTTCAGTTTCTGAAAGCTATATTAACTGATTAGATTACTGGGTCGGACAATAATATCAAAATATGTACAGATAATAATTGACACTTAACGAAGTGCATTAATACCTAAAGGTTCCTATTATCGAATATTGAATATAAAGTATTGTAGGTATGCTTTAAAGTTTATCCATCAAAAATAAAAATTTGTTTTTCGTAATTTCTTCTTTGAATAGATACACTAGGAATTGATAAGAAATTAAAAATGTGAATTAATCAAAATTAATGTTTATAAATAGTTTAATTCGGACACAGCGCTTATTTATTGTCCATTCAATATCTATATAGCATTATTTCAATATGTGTATTATACAATTTATACGTTTAATTATAATTTAATCAATCGATAATATTATAATAAGCGTTTCAAATGTTTCAGAAATAATTTTTATTATTTAACTGTAATGGGTTTTATGTTAATCACTTTTTTAATTTTGACAGTATTCCCCYGAGATCTATGATGGTACTTACCAGCGAAATGGTTCTCTGAGGCGACATTTTGGCCCTTTGGTCAGCTGCCACCATTTGACTGGCATATAAATTGTTATACAGCTCTGCGATGGTCGAGTTGTTCTTCTTTGACGACCTGCAACGACAGCAAAGTGAGTTTGAATGAACAGGTTTTTCGACATTTTCGCGTTCACGTATACATGCGAACGTTGCACATAATATATTATCATACACATCTCGTTGGTGCGTAATTACAGTTTAATTTTGCRTGTGTGTAGTTCATCGTAATTATAATACAATCTCAAGGCAAAAGCGTACAAATAAATTGTGTTTAAAAATCAAATTAAGTAGGTTAGGCAAAATATTAACACCTAACTAGATATTTTTATTAAAATAAAATACTTTTATAGGTGTATTTTTTGTTTGCTCGTATAAATAGAACGAATACCTAATAATAAATCGCAAATAAACATATTTTATATATTCGATTTTTGATATTGTCATTTCACGTTTGTCATTATATACATATATTATCAAATGTTATATTATATATTTTTTTATTCTCAGGGCTAGCGACGCATACACATTTTGATGGATATATAATAAATATATTATATATTTAAACCTATATATATTTTTTATTCTAGGTAAATAACTTTTTTTCCGCCTAGGAAAACTTTACTATTTATAGGTATATTATTTCAATAATATATAATGTCAGGAACTCAGATATTTATTATATTTGACTTGGAATATTTTGGATACATGTATAATGTATATTAGATGTATAAGTATGGAACAAATATTATTCATTCCTATATTTGATGAAAAATTRCTGTGTAGGACAAATTACTACATAATAATAGTATATTTTAGTGCTAATTCTATAAAAAGTAAATTAGATTAAAAAATAAAATAAAATTGATGATAGTTGTTCAAATAGATATTAGTCATTAAATATGTTTGTATTGTAATATTATTTTCTAARCATAAACTTTAGACATAACAGTCTGAGACTATGAATATGTAAGCGAGAATTGTCCACGATTGTACACATAGTATTAGCTGCGTAGCCAGAAATTCCAAAGCAGGGAGGGGTTATATGTAAAAAACAACAACTTTAATGGATGAAATGAAATATAATATAGGTAGGTATATATATTTGTCATTTGTCAATATTAATAAGTATTTATAATCTGAAAACTAATTTTTATTAAATGTATGTCCAATGTCCATATTATATTAAAACAATATATTTTTCACCGTTTGATATRTAGGTATTATAAATGTACAATAAATAAAATTAATAAACATAGCCAGGCTGAATATATAAAATAAATATATAATATATTTTTTCATTGGTAGATATGTAATAATAAGTTATATAAATAACTAAATAGGTAGGTACCTAACATTATAGTTAGTATTTCACGGTGAACTTGTGCAGATATTCTGTGTTGTATCTAAGATACTGCAATAGCTAAAATATATAATAAAATAATATTCATAGAAATATATGTTGCAGTCTC